TGTGGCATAACATTAAAAAACAAAGCTCTCTCAGCGTGTCAGGAAAAGAACATTACGACTATATTTACAAAAAGGGTATTACTAGCTGTGGTAGTTTCTTTCATCTGAGATATGTTAGTCAGAAAGAAATTGTTTACTTTTAGCGCCTCTCAAAAAATATGTTAATTAGCTATAAATTATGCAAAATCATTGATTATGGGCTCCAGAAAATCTTAACTCGCGCCAAATACAGATTGATACCCGCAGGTTTTTCATCAGATCTTCTGAAAATAAGTATAAATCATTACAGCCAAACACATTTCAGCGTAATTTTAGGTCCCCATTTGGAGATCTCAGGCTTCGATTTTAGTGTAATTTTGTAGACCGAACAAGAAGCAAAAACCGGTGTGCCGTCAAGTTGCTGTCGTTTATTCACAATTTATTCAAATGCTCTTATTTTTTGGAACAGGGAACCTGAATTGTATCCGAACTTGTTGATCTAGTTGAAATTTGGAAATAGTCAGGCGTTTTGACACAGCGCGGCTCTACAATTTACCGAAATTCAACCTTCGATTTTGCTTGAAATTAGCTCTGCACGGGTAAAATGAGTTTCGGCGTCTAGCGAAGCCGTAAAAAAGAATTTTCAAAAAATAAATTTATTTTGGACACTTGTATACCAATGCCTTTCAACACACAAAAAATAAAGGAAATCTATTTTCCGAAGTCAAAGTCATCGGACCGCTCTTAGCGGGACTGCCACTTAAAAGGCCCACAGTAATTGGTACCATATACTGTTGTGGTGACCCTGCCATGAATGCATAATGGCGAAGTTAAATAAATAGATAAATATCGACACTCTATTACATCGGTCACTTTGATATGTTCACGACAGTTACGACTAAATGAACACCAGGCTTGAACGGATGATTGTTAACGTAACGTATTTTGACGTATGACGCTCATACGCTGAGAAACTGTTTTTCTACTTACATCTCCAAGTACTTTAACAAGAGATCTTGCAATATTGCCATCTTTGTCCGATTGGAAAAACGATGTCGCTTTTCCTTTGTTTCCAATTCTTCCTGTCCTGCCAATACGGTGAACATATTCCTCAATCTCTTTGGGTAGATCATAATTGATCACGTGTTTTACATCCTGGATATCAAGACCACGTGCAGCCACTGACGTTGCAACCATAACTGGAGTACGACCTTTCTTGAAGTCTTCCAAAGCTTCTTCTCTTTCTTTTTGTTGTCTGTCTCTATTAAAACATGTTTAAACCTTATTGTAGGATTAAATGCAGAGAGAAAATCATTGGTACTGTAACTTTTGGTTGAGCTACAGTATTTTCGATTTGATATTATTTCAGAATTGAGTCTAGTTCCTCCGATGTCGGTATACCCGGGGGACGGTTGTTCAAAAGCCGGTTAGCTTAACCCTAGTTTAATCTATAAAATTCAAAACAGCTTCTCGCTTTACAAACTTGGAAATATTTCTTCGGAAATCTTGTGTGGATCAATGGGAGTTTCCTTTTGAAATAAACAAGCCTTTGAAATAAACAGGCGTGCAGATATATGACAAACTAAAACAGCAGTGAATTTTAACCCAGGGTTAGCGCTGATACGGTTTTGAACAACCGGTCCCCGACTACCATCTTACAGTCTGATTAGTGCGGGATAAGAACTCGGGTATATTATATTAGATGACGGTACTCCGGCAACCACAGGTCATAGGTTCAATTCCCACCGCTGTCAAGTACCTTTGCAGTTTGGCGGGAGTGGAAGCCACCCGGAATAGCGTCATTTTAATAGCGTCATTTTACAGTATAAACGTTATTATTGCAAGTATCACAGAATTCTTTAAAGTAACTTTGAATTTGTGAAAAGACTGCTATGAGTAAGGTACCAGTTGGGTGAATCACGTTGGTATCTACAGTAAATGTTTTTATCTACATGATTAAGAATTAACTTACCCATGAATACTGGTTGTAGGAAATCCTGTCTGAGATAGATAGCTGGCCAAGAAATCAGCCATTCTTTTCGTTTCAACAAATACCAACATTCTGTCGCTTCCTATTTAATTAATCAAAGGTAAAAAAGCAAAACACATGGTCAGTGGGTTTGCCCAGAATGGAATCTTAAGAGGCAACCTGGAGGTGCTTTTTTAAAGTATTTCTACTTTCTACAAAGTGTATGGGGATTTTTTATGCTTTTACATAAATTCAAGATTTTCAGCTGTAAATGACAAGCCGGTAGAGCGGTTCTAGAGGCTCTTCAACAACAGCGAGGCAAAACAAACGCGAGAAGAAAAGCAAATGAGATAGAACCTATAGATAGGTCCAATGGAATGGGAACTTCACCTCCATGTATGATTAGGTTTGGAATATGAACCTCGCTACCAGGTTACTTGGGCTGATACCTGTACATACAAACTGAAAACTCAAAGGGCACTCGAAGTTTAATAGGATAAACTACATGATCAAGCGAAGAACTCTATAGTACTTGCCTAAAAACCCTCATTGACGCGCTCAGTTAAAAATGATGCGAACCCAAACTGGAATCGTTTGTTATTGGGTTGGTATATAAAAGAACAGTCTGACGATTCATAAACACTGGTCACTTTTGTTTCAAAAAACCAATCAGAAAACATGTTCATATTAGGTAGGTATGTACCTATTGCTGCTTTCAGATGGCGTGAGCATGTACACAAATAACAAAATAAGCAACACAACACTTTCTATTTTAATGCAGAACTTACCTGCATTATTCAGCAATTCAACAAGCTTATCTCGTTTCTCAAACTCAGATACTTGACAAATTTTTTGTTCAATATCTGAAGTAGCGCTGCCCACTCGACCGACTGTGAGAAATAGATAATCATTCAAAAATTCACCAGCAAGTCTCTGGATTTCCTCTGGGAACGTAGCACTAAACATGAGTGTCTGACGTTCTGTCTTGGGAGGAAAGTCAGGGTTCTCAGCAAGCTCTCGAATCGTAGGTTCAAATCCCATGTCTAACATTCTGTCAGCTTCATCAAGAATTAAATACTTCAAAGCATGGACTGATATCTATAAGACAAAAACAACAGAATTTCTATTTTTGGAATTTTGCCTCAGCTTCCGCAGTAACTGCAATTTTAAAAATCGTCGAAGTGCATTTTCCTAAATAATGGGTAACTGTAATATATCATTTTTAATTCTGTTAAATACATTTTTACATGATAATGCATACTATTAATTTTTTTCTAGATACAGTGTAGGATACAAGTAATTTGGCCAATTTGGGTTTATTGGAATGTTGAGTACTTTTGAAAGCCTTTGAGTGCTGCTTTTTTGTATTCCATCACACAATATTGGAAACACGAAATTACAGGAACACAGAACTGTCTTCTTTTTGAGGAAAATTTCACAGGTTTACAAATAATGTAGAAATATTTGTGAAATAACATTACGTGGTTTGTGGATACTAACATGCAAATGATTGCAAATACAAAACTTAGTATCAATCATCAATGCATTACATAGCAAACAAGCTTTTAAAAGTTAAAACAAGGGCAGTTGATCAAAATATTACAAACCTTTCTTCTACCGATGAAGTCCATAAGTCTTCCAGGAGTTGCAACAAGCAAATGACATCCCCGTTCAATCTGGGACAACTGATGACCAACAGACACACCACCGTAGCAAACACAAGCTTTTAACATAGTTCCATATGCAAATTTCCTAGCTTCATAATATATCTGATTAGCAAGTTCTCGTGTAGGAGCAATCACTAAAGCTTGTGGTGCTTGGATCTCACTCATTTCGCTACCACTTAAACCATTATTGATCATACCTGTCATGACAGGTAAAACAAATGCAGCCTACAAAATGAGAAAATATCTCTGTTTCTGTAAAAAGTAACACAATCAGTAATAAAACTCCGGCAAGGAATTTTTAAGGAAATTTTATATTTAAAAGTGGAAGCAGACAAAAGTATTTCAGTGTAATTTAAGAATTTATCTTTAAAATAGTAAACACCATAGTAATATATAGTAAAACAACATATAGATAGTAATATATTAGTAAACAGCAACTTAATTTTTCCATTTAATACCAAATGTTCATTGAAATATGAAATAATTTTTAATAATTTTGTTGGCCGGAGTTTTCCAACTCCGGCAAAATATGCCGGAGCCACAGCTCTAATCAGTATAAACTTTTTAAATATTTACAGAAAGGGAGGATCTAACTAAAAGAAAGTAAATTCCTGTACAATATTAGTTATATACAAAAAATTAAAACTTTCATTTTAATTAAGAACAATGGACAGTAATGCCTGTAGCAGCATTACTATTGTATATCAGGGTACAAATTGTTGACCCGGCAACAAATCAATTTGCAATTTTTCTTCGAGGAAATCTCACACGATCTTTTGAATTAGTATTTAGTGAAGTGGAAACAATGACAAAAAGGCCAACATTTTGTTGCAAATTTTGAAAGAATTCCAGTCATATTAAGAAGTGTGAAACAATTGTAAGACAGATGGGCATGCTATCGAATTTTTACACTAAGTTTGGATTGAGGCATCACACAGGCTATTAGCCAGGGGTTTCAGAATAAGCCGGCGGCCGGCGGAGTTCCGCCGGCTACTTGAACTTTTACCGCCGGCTACTTTTCGTCTGGTCACAGGAAAAATTTTATATACAAAGGTACAAGCGAACCAACACGATGTTTGTTATGTTCCAATTGGAATTCAAGTTGGCCTCGAAATTCCCTGAAATCAATTGACGGCAATGGCGTTAAAAATTGCCGTAGAACGTAACAGCTGTCTACGGCAATTTTGTCAGTTTCCACGGCATTTTTTCAAATTGCTGTAATAAAAATTTAATTTTATTGTTACTTTGGATTGCTGACAAGCTAGAAACGTGTTTACGTATTTCTTTAGTGGGTTTTTTTTCGAAGAAAACTGAGACTAAAATAATTTACAGATGATTTGATCAACATCTGAATTCAAGTATCAAAATAGTAATGCACAGTGAACAGTTTAAAAATTATACTATACGGCAAAAAATCGCCGTCATTGCCGCAATGATCCACGGCATTTTGTTCTCCCTCTAAGGCAATTGCCGCGATAAAATTCAAGCCCTGAATTCAAGCAAAACATCACCTATTTTGGAAGATCAATAAGATAAATTATAATACATAGTACCAAACATAGCAAAAGAAAGAAGTGGTGAAGTGAAGTTCATTACGTACATAAGTATAACATCATTTGATTAATGATTTCGGACTCATAAAATAATTACTATTACTGTAGTGTACATTCTCATTCTGTTCATGCAGCTGTAAAAATTAAACTACTACTAGCACATTAAAGTAGATTGTCACTTACAAGTATATATGCAAATGACATCTAAATCTAACATGTTAACAGTTGTACTTTGTCTTTTTACGTATTCTATATTATTTGATTGTTAATTTGCGGCGAAAATTTTTTAAATTTCCATGCGAGGGCACGCTCCCCTCCCCGCGCGATTTTTTTAACTATCAGTCACAGCCGGCTACTTTGTTGGTACAACCGCCTACTTCAAATCATTCTGAAACCCCTGGGCTATTTTACAGCTTGCTTCCCATTTTTCCTTTTTCATACGAATTTCACGAACTAAATCTAAGACATACTTCACAAACTGCGAGCCACTAATTCGTACTCTGTATATTGTATACTCATTTCCATGCATGTTAGAAAGTATCAATGAAAGCGCTTCTTAATTTTACTAGTGCAATGGCAACTGAGTGGGGGCACTAAAGCATGCAATATCACAGGCGGCCCAATCTTACCCTGTGTTATTAATTTATTACGTTATATCTTTATATAATAGTATATTGAAAATCATTAGAAAATGGGTCGTTCCAGAAAAGATCCATACTCCTCCCACAGAGGAAATTTCTGCCGTCCGGAGGGGGAGGGGAGAAAAAATTGTTTCTGATAATAGTAAATGTATTAGGACATCCGAAGGGGGTAAGGGGGTTAACTTCCTATTTCCTCCGTGGGGGTGGTATGGATGTTTTCTGGAATGACCCAATCCTGTGTTATTAATTTATTACGTTATATCTTTATATAATAGTATATTGAAAATCACTTACATACATGTGTTTCCTGAAAGATTTTAACGAGAATCGGCCAAGATTGGCGTTGACATGAGGTTAACAGCCATGGTTGGGGTTGACATGAGGATTAACAGCAGGAAATAATAGAAGGCTGGTCACTTTGACCGTTAATTGGACTAATTGGGACAAACGCTGACAGAAATCAATCGAATAACGCACACAGCGGCCCAATCTTACCCTGTGTTATTAATTTATTACGTTATATCTTTATATAAATAGTATATTGAAAATCATTAGAAAATCCTGTGTTATTAATTTATTACGTTATATCTTTATATAATAGTATAATGAAAAGCACTTACATGTGTTTCCTGAAAGATTTTAACGAGAATGGGCCAAGATTGGCGTTGACAAGAGGTTAACGGCCATAGTTGGGGTTGACATGAGGATTAACAGAAAGAAATAATACAAGGCTGGTCACTTTGACCGTTAATTGGACTAATTGGGGCAAACGCTGACAGAAATCAATCGAATAACGCGAACTTCGGCTGTCACATCGTCGCCAAATTACGTTACATCGGAAGAGCGATAATTTTTACATATTGTACTTTCTTTAACAGAATTGAAAAATAATCTTCCTGCAGAAAATGCCAATTGAAACTTACAAATGTCTAATCTTCCGAGGTTTGTGATCAGTATGAATTCATGGCATTCGAATTACACGCTGCATTGTCATTGGTCGGCTTTCAAAACAACAACAGGATATTCCCGGTAAGAGAGCGAACATTTGGGGAGCTAGCGAATGGCCTCTGCGAATGGCCTGTTGTTGTTTTGAAAGCCGACCAATGACAATGCAGCGTGTAATTCGAATTTGAAGGCCATGAATTCATACCGGTCACAAACCTCGGAAGACTAGACATTTGTAAGTTTCAATTCGGCATTTTCTGCAGGAAGATATTGTTCAATTCTGTTAAAGAAAAGTATATTATGTAAAAATTATCGCTCTTCCGATGTAACATAATTTGGCGACGATGCGACAACCGAAGTTCGCGTTATTCAATTGATTTCTGTCAGCGTTTGTCCCAATTAACGGTCAAAGTGACCAGCCTTCTATTATTTTCTGCTGTTTACCCTCATGTCAACCCCAACCATGGCCGTTAACCTCATGTCAACGCCAATCTTGGCCGGTTCTTGTTAAAATCTTTCAGGAAACACAATCATGTAAGTGATTTTCAATATACTATTATATAAAGATATAACGTAATAAATTAATAACACAGGATTTTCTAATGATTTTCAATTTAAAGATATAACGTAATAAAGTAATAACACAGGGTAAGATTGGGCCGCCTGTGGCAATATTTTTTGGATGAAACCATGGATCATAAAATTTTTTAACTTGTTAACTATCCATGATGAAACTTAATTAAGTCCAAATAATTACACACTCATTGTGTTAAAAATTAAATTTGAGGTTGTTGACCAATGAAAAGAAAATGAACAGAAGTATAATCAATCAAATACTGTAATGCAGAATAAGCCTTGATCATTCTCTGGTACAGTGGTAGGCTGTTGCAGTATATCAATATACTGGAAATTATCGGTTTTTTATAAATATACCGATTATTCGATATTTAAATTTTCGATATATTGGAATATCGATATTTTTTGGTATGATTGGTATCAGTTTATGTTTGTATATTTAAACGTTATATCAAGCTTTTCCAAGCCCTGAGTGAAATTATTTCAAGAAGGACAAAGACAATAAATGCGTGAACCCTGTGGGAAAATCCGTAAAGTATTAGTAAATCGGGTTTGTTTACATTGGTGTTGCAACTTGAATGGAGTGATATAAGTTGTCATTTCGCTTATCAAAACGTGAAGTTTTAGAACGTACACAACGTTAGCTGATTGCAAAAATATCTCTCTTATTATATTGTATTATATCGCAACTGTTTGGCATCATTTGAAAACAGAAAATTTTGCCTAAATTTTTTATTTAACCCATTAAGTTGCTGTTCACCCCTAATGCCATATGATATTACTTGACAAAGGGATATTGTACTTTCACTACTTTGCTTTCCAATACTTACTGTTTTTCCAGAACCAGTCTGTGCACAAGCCATCAAGTCTCTTCCTGCTAGGATTGCTGGAATGGAGTATTTCTGTACTGGTGTTGGTTTCACATATTTTGCCTTTTCAACATTAGATTTAAATGTATCATATAGTGCTGTTTCTTGAAAAGTTGATATAGGTACAACAGGTTCTCGTCCAGTCATTTCAACAGAAATATTGTCATAATTATCAAAGTTTATGCCTTGTTGTATAGTCTTGAATATTTCTTCTTCTTCCTCGGGAGGTGCTGGAGGGATATAGACAACTCGCTGCGGTTTCTCTTCACCTCCTTCACCACCACCTAGAACATATGCAAATTTCATTGTGATAATAGGTAATATTTACATAGCATAGTTACAAACCATCTAAAGCCACCTCCAAAAATGACCTTTAAATCAATCTAGAACGACTTAAAATGATTTAAAACCACCTCTAAAATGACCTAAATAATTATCTAAAATTACCGAAAGCCACCTCTACAGTTACAGTTACTAGATTAAAAGCATATTTATATATAGATCAGAAGTCATTCTGGCGCACAGAATTTTCATGGCCCGAAGTTGTTTTTGAGTTTTTATCCAAAGAAAATGCAAATTTTTCATTGTAATCGTAAATTAGAGACACTCACAGTACGTACGCTTTTAACCTATCTATCTGTGTGTTCTTATGCATTTATGTTCAGTATTGTATGTTAGAATGCTCACACTTTTCAACAATAGTGTCACAGACTGAAATTATATTTCATACTTCAAGGCACTCTTGAATTGTCACCAAAAATTACTGTACATAAGTCCTGTCATTCAACCTAATTCACATGTAGTGTTTTATCTGCTGAATCTCATAACTATAGTGCAGACAGTTATGAGTTGTTTTATATGAAAAATCAAACTCTAGTTGAATTTTGAAAAGTTTTCACACCAATTTTCACAACAAAACTAATTTAAGAAACATTGGATTAATGTTCTCAATTGTCAATTCATGTTCTCAATTTTTCATATTTTGAGCATATACTGTATCTTTTATTTTCATCTCAAATAAGTAAAAGAATATCTGTGTGATATATGTAAGGCAAAAACTTAAAGTGAAAATTACTAAAAAAGCCAAATATAAACCAAACTAGGCTGTTGCAGTATTGGAAAATTTCAATATATCAATATCAAAAATATGCAAATTAGCAAAATTACAAAATGTTTATTCAATATACCACATCACAAACAGCAAAATAAATGTATAGCCTACAGGTACCGCAAAACAGCAAAAAAAACAAAGTTGTGTGAAACTAATCGAATATCAAAAGGTTTATTTACTACAATATGGTCATTTTATGAATGTTAAAAAGATTTATTTACACTTATTCAAATAAGTGCACATTCCATCTTTATGAGTCATCACACAGCTATTGTTTTCAAGCGTTCAAATGCTGCTTGTGTGGGTAGTCCGGGTTGTGATCTTTTGTGATAAACACTTACCCATGCATGTTTTCTAGATTTTACTAGGAAATAATTTCAATAAAACTTTCGATATTTTTAAGGTATTCCAAAATGTCCATTTTTTCGGTATATTGATATACCGCAACAGCCTAAACCACACACACATTTTGTGTTGTTCATACATAATTTACATGCATGCATTATATATCAACCACACATGACTTCTGAACTTTCCTGGAAATGATCATATTGCTCTGCCTTAAGTGTATTCAATATAATTATAAATTTGGTTGAAAATGAAGGTTACCTAAAATACTTAGAGAACTGTAGGGAGCCACCTTAAAAGGGGCAGATGGCCTTGAAAAGTACTGTAGATCTGCAGTCGGGGAAAAATATAGGGAAAATAAATGAAAGGAAAAAGAACTCTAGAAAAAATATATTGAACAACAAATTGAGAACATCGAGCAAAAAAAGGTATTTTCCAGAATACCGAAAAACCGCCCCAGCCTAATGGACCTTTCCCCTTATAACTAAAATTGTGACCTAGACAAAAATTTCATCTTGAAAGAGCATCACAAAATTAGTAATATTCCAAAGTTTCGTTGCGAAATGTTATAAAATGCGGATAATATAGCCTTGCGAAGTTTGCCGTTTTTCAGTCATTTTGTATTACGAACGGAAATTGACAACCCATTCGGGTGTCAATTTCCCATTTGTAATACAAAGTTACTGAAAAACGGCAAACTTCGCAGGGCTATATTATCCTCATTTTACAACATTTCGCAACGAAGCTTCGGGATATTACTAATTTTGTGATGCTCTTTCAAGCTGTGATGAATTTTTTGTCTAGACTTGTCTAGATCAAAATTTTAGTTATAAGGGGAAAGGTTTATTGAGAACACTAATTAATAAGTGAATTTGTCTACTTCTAAGTCTAGCAAACAATAGTGTTAGTGGAAAGCTCTTCAAACCAGTCAGTTTGTGCAACACTTATGCAATCACTCAAACATGTATACAAACAATATTAGTATATTTCAGTTTCTGCAAAGTCCATACTTAAAAAGTTGTAAAGGTTGAAACAGACATTTTCCTTGCTTTTGTTTCACTTAATAATTCATGTATTTACTTTCATATTAGAAAGCAAAAGTTAACACACAAATAAAACTGTGAATAGTGATCAGAATGTTATATTCAACTTTTTATCTCCAATGGGCTAGTATTCCAAAGGTCACAGGTTCGATTCCCACCGTGGTCAGGCATATTTTTCAAGCTTGCTCAGTGTGGATATACACTCAGAGTAACATCACAAGCATCATATTCACCTGAGTACATTACACCAATGAATACAGAAAAAATCATTTTATCTCCAGTTTTCATATTATTACACAAGTAAGCAAAAGTAGAGTACATCTAATGACCTTATACTATGCATTCACAAATTACACTTTTTACTAGAGTCAATTGAAAAAGTTGAATGCAATTAAAACAATAGATAATGAGATGATAAATCTCATTAAGCTTAATTATCTATTGTTTGAATTGCATTCGACGCGACCAAAATTCGACATATAAAACAGGCCTTATCTAATGGAATATATAGCTTATACACCAACAAAAATACTTTTATTAGTAGAGGTTGATCACAAAAGCTTGTGTTAACAAGGAATATATTATTGAAATCACTAGAGTGGTAAATTTGTCCCTGGAGATTTGCACGCGCGGTGTTGATTTCAGGGGCGGATTCAGCGTTTTGGGTGACCGGTTTACTAGGTCCACACAATCATTAGGGGGGTCCGGGGGCATGCTCCCCCGGGAAATTTTTAAAATTTGGGCCTCTGAAACAGCATTTCCTGCGTTCTGGCGTCACTTTTTAAATTAATTTAATGATTAGAAAATATATCTTTTAAGAGAATTTTGAACTAACACGCAGCTCAAATGATGAATTGAACTTTTTCGGAAACCTATTAGCTAGTGCTGAAAATATAGGATTGGCAACTGAATTGCTGACGCATCAATAGTTATTATAAGTACAAGTAGAGATGGTTTTAATATAAACATAGTTGTAATTTTAGATCTATACGCTTTCAAACCAACTTTAACAATGAACTAGAAACCAAACTGCAAGAGCGTGAATAAAGCCTCACAAATAATCACAATCATTTCCTGATTCTCTCTCGCCAACGCAATGATTCTGTCACGCAAGATTATACGTACATTATCATATTTCGCGCTGTCATGAGTATAGACTGTAGTTACACGTATAAACATCGATACGCTTGTTGATGAATCGATATTTACTATACAGTAAGTAGAAATAGCTTACCGTTATAACTTTAGACTATATACTTCTAAACAAACCTTCAAAATGAACAAGAAATCCATGTAAATGCTTCTATCGCCAACGCAAAGATTCAGTCACGCAAAATTATAAACATATTTCGCGCGTCCTCGAGTTCTGTTAACTTTCATGCCCAGTTTTCTCTAAATACTGCTCGACTCACAGGTTTATGACCGGCTTACATCCGCCGGAGCGCAGCCGTTTAGCCAATCGAATGGCGTATCGACCGGTTTACTCTCATGGAGAAAACTCTGACCACCGGTTTACTCATAATTGCGGGCGGTTATGTGTGATTCATGCAATGTTTACAAGTCCATGACCCACGACGATATATTAGCAGATTATTAGTCTAGTATTACAACATTTCGTAAGAGGAAACCCAGGGCGATAAGTCCTTATAATTATACGCTCGGTAATCCATAATCAAATTTCAACAACAGTGTTTATTAAGTGGCGTAATAGATTAGACAACATCAATTTTATGAAACAGAATATTCTTTAAATTAGTTATATACATGGAAGGTTTTTTCTCTCTTTGGAAAATCTGACAGGTTTATATAAACCTGTCAAACCTGTCTGAATCCGCCCCTGGATTTTATGTACATGTGATTCGTATTTACCTCGTAAACAATCTGCAATGTTCTGGTGGAATTGGTGCTTTAATGATTAAGAAAATTATTTTAGAGCTCTTTAATAGTAATACTTTTGACTATGTTTTGAGAAGTGAAGGTAGAGCCAATAACATTCATGAACTGACACAAAATTTCGAAGCGGTCACAAGGTGTTCAAACAGTTCATCACATGGTACATAAAATCAACCCCGTGCATACAAATCTTACCACTCTAGTGATTTCGATAATATCAAGAAATGTTTTTTGAGATAACTGTGTACAAAAAGACATAAATGAACTTACCAAAGCTGTCACCACCACCATCACCACCATCTCTGTCACTGCCTCGCCGTCCACGGAAACCACCACCCTGTCCTCCAGCATCATCACCATCCATGCCACCACTAAACCCACCACCTCTACCACGCCCTCGTCCACCACCAAACCCGCCACTACGACCACCACCAAAACCACCATGATCATCATCAAAACCATTCTGCTCAGAATCACCATCATCACGACCAAATCTACCACCTCTACCACGACCTCTACCACCTCGGAAACCACCACCACTATCAGAATCACCAAAACCATTCTGGTCTGAACTATCACCAAATCCTCCACGACTGCCTCGACCCGTGCCTCTGCCTCGACCCCCACCAAAACCTCCACCTCCAAAGCCGCCACCAGAGTCATCGTTAAATCCATTACTATCTGAGCTTTTCCCAAAACCACCTGAATCTGTGCTGCCAAAGCCACTAGAGCTGCCGAACCCACTGTTGTTAGATGGCTAAATGAAAGAAAGGTAGTTATCCTTGTTGAATAAGTATACTTTTTGTTGACTATGTTAGTGGATTAAGTTAGTGGTTAATATTAAAGGTTAGTTAGTGTATGCAGGGTTGTATAAAAGAGACGTTTCAATCTCATTTTCCTAGTCAAAATTCTGTCCTGTCCAACCCATTGATTTGCTAAATCCCATTGCTTGCAGCAAAATCGCTGGTGTAAATCTCCTTCCCAGTGGTCCAAATCTGATTTTCCCAGTGAAAAATAGGCAAATCCCAGCTCGGATTTTAATACCTCTTCATGAGCATCTATATATATATATTGTGACGGTTTAGTACCAGTTTTATGTTTGAACTGTGCGGGAATCGTTTGAGATAAAACACATTAAAACAGACAATTCGCTTCAAATACAACACATTATAAACTAAATTATATTATTTAACGTATTACTGGATCATTAACAAATTCAATCAAGCACAATCACTCACCTTACTGTCGAAACTGGAACCGCCACATTCTTCTTCCCAATCGTCTGACATTCTTGTTGTTTATATCGATTACTTTCGGTATGTAAAAGTGATTCTACGGCTTTTTGATAAACCAGTACCTTGAAACAAAGCGACGAGAGTACGAACAAGGCTTTCTTGTGTAGTTAAAACGCAAATTTAAAATCTCCACGTGCTAAATTTCAGCAAAACTTCTTCCTTCGACCTTCGCTGATGGTGTAAAATAAAATATTAAATGCAACGCAGGCTCTAGCTTTGCTGTCGCAGTCACCTGGCTCGCTTCCCATTGGCTGATTTTGGTTGAGCACATTCGCGTGGGGCGGGAAATTTTCGCGCGTCAGTAATATGATATAGGTGTGCAAAGAATCTGGTTGTCGACGTTAAACCTCCATATTGTAACTTAACAGTAACATGATACAGTAACAGTAAATAATATATTCTTTACATGGCCTCTTTACCCAAGGGCCCAATAGGCTGTGTATATATAGAGCCTGAACACCTGGCCTGTATAGCTCAGTGTTTTAGGGGCCGATTACATGGAGAACTTTCAACCCCGGGGTTGAACTCAGCCCTGCTAACCGGGTTGAAATTTTTTGCGATTACATGGACGATTTCAACCCCAGGGTTGAAACACCATACTATACGTTCTCGGCGTCGATTACTGGAAGTAAAAAAGCCTTCATTAATTTTGTTTTCTTAGTAATAAATAGTCACTACCACGGTCCACGCATGGGTTGAAACGATTCGGGGTTGCCTCAGCCCTGGGCTGGGTTGAAAATTTTGTCATGTAATCGCGCGTTTGATTTTGATAGAGTTTTGTATTACAGACAGGGCTGAAATTTCAACCCGGTAAACAAGGCTGAGGCAACCCCGGGGTTGACAATGCTCCATGTAATCGACCCCTATTAGACAGCTGCAACTGAATCGCAGGGTCGCACTGTTCGATTCCTGTCAATCTTATTATTTTGTAAAAAGTGCATTCATCCTCAATCTCAACTTTTTCACATAAAATTCGTACGAACGTTTTTCGCGGGGTTACATTGTGGCAACATCCGTATATGCATATTCTGCCGGTTTCAGTGTTTGGTTGGCAACTTATGACATGCTCTGTTCGCAGGCTAATGACATGCCGTCACACTTTTCACTCCACACCCTTTGTCCTTTTGTTGTCGGGATTATACTGCCTGTAAATTCCTTTGTAATTACGTCATTGCCATACCAGCTTATATACTGAATTGAAATATCACCAACTCTTGCTCAATCTTGTTTTCACTCATATCTTGAGTTTCAAGGTGCTAATCTTCGGATTGTTTTGTCTTATACTTTAATTTTTGAAATTGTCGGCTGGTCAGTGGTTTTATACCACTAGCTGTAGATCGTATACGATCGGAATCTTAGGGGCCGATTACATGGAGAACTTTCAACCCTGGGGTTAAATTCAGCCCTGTTAACCGGTTTGAATTTTTTTGCGATTACATGGTTATGGACGATTTCAATCACGGGGTTGAAACACTATACTATACGTTCTCATTGCGACCTCAGAGTCAGATCACCCCTGATGAAAACACTAGACTGGAGTGTCGAAACGTTGGGTCGTGAATGCCACATTCGACTGGGCTTTGTATTCATTTACAAAAAAACAGAGAAGCGAGCGAAAACATTGCAAACCATGTATTACTAGTAACTGAAAATCTAACTAGTGCTCTCTTCATGTGCGTTACTTAGTACCAATACACCCTTTCTGGAAAGTGCTCAGTCTTGTCCATGGAGCCTCGCTTTCATGTTTGAGATATTGGGTTTAAAGCCCTATCTTGTTAGAGGTGATCGGACACCATACAGTTATATCATGATCAGTGAATATAAAAGACATTATTTTTGTAATGAGTAACAAATAGCACTATATCGGAAAAGCTTACTAAAGCTATTGTCCGAAACACGGAAACGAAGCTCTATAGCCATGGCTAAGTATTTTCATGGAGCTCATGGTCCGAGCTCACCACTCACACCAAGACCCAACCATCTACTACGTAGGACATGATGAGTAAAAATCTTATATGATACAGTGAGAATTATATAATACCTTATTAAATTCTAATAATTTAATTGGCTGTTTATGGTCACGTGATATTGAATAGAAAATTCCATTTCCCAAGAGTGCAATGGAACACGTTCCATTGCACTCTCCGCGAGTGCAATGGAATAAAACGTATAGTACAATTGCACTCTTTGTGTTTTCGATAAATCGCATCCCTCAAAATGCTTCTTATATGAATCTATTAGTCTATTTTGGTATTATATAAAACAAATAATGAATGTTTCTTCGTGCAATGGTAAGAATATTTTCATTCGGTGAAAGATGGAATGTTCCATTCAACTCGGCTGTCGCCTCGTTGAATGGAACATTCCATCTTTCACCTCATGAAAATATTCTTACCATTGCACTCATAAACATTCATTATTTGTATAATATTTAATATTAATTCAACTACTATGCTTTATTTACATACAAAATGAATCGAACAATATGCATAATTACATTATATATGACAATAATTTACTATATGGTACAATTTCGCAGTTTAAGAAAAGGTTGACAATCACTCGGTCCGTAGAAAATTGACTAACGGTATCACCACTTTGAATCGACTTGTTCATATTAATTCATGCATGTAAATAATGTAATAACTTTAACGAAAGATAACTGGATTGATTTTCAAAAGGGGAGTTTTACCAGAAAAGATCGTTTAAAATCACCAAAAATATAAATTATCAAAAAAGATTGTAAAATATGGAGCAATCTTTAAATAACTTGAAAATTAGCATTATAAATCCTAACATATTCCCCTTTCAATTACTTCTTCCTATAAAATATATATCGCAAGAATTCATGGAGTAAAGTATATAAATGCCATAGGCAAAACCTGCATGATGTCGTCAATACCGAGATGTCGTCAATACCGATTCTATATAAAAATTAATTTAGCTTAATAAAATTTGGGTTAAAATTCTTCAATCGAAAAGTTTATTGAATATCAAATGACTCATCTTTCTTTAGTGAGCCTAAAACAACGTAATCTTCAGCAGGTCTATCACCCAGTGCTAAATTTTCGCCTCCAACTTCTTGTACTCGATATATCTCCCCATTCCTATGTACACCTGTTTCGTAATCAAATAATTCTAAAGTGGGAGTATTTGGACTGTCTGAAAATGACATTGAAGAGACGAGATCCGGATGTGACATGAGTTTACTGCAATTTCCTGAAGCGACTATAAACATTGGGTAACTGCCTTTCTGCATTGGAGGACTCACAACCTAAATAAAGTAGAAGAAACAGTTATAAGCTGGGATGTTGTATCTCCTCAGGTTACACTCAACACTTCCACACCAGGAAATAATATGCATATAGCCTGATTTGGTATACAGGTGCCGAGTGGGCGCTCGCCATTTTGGCGGGGGCACGACTGTTGGGATATAAGGGTTGCCTTATAGCCAGGGTTCCCAATACAATTTAGAGCAAGAGACTTGTTGAAAGACGTAGGTGGCTGTGTGGGGTCGAAGATACTACTCCCCTGGAGGGGCGGGGGTGTTGAGATTTTGACGCTCTGAAATGACGTTTCCAGAATTTTAGAGACTAGTTTTGAAGACTGTGTGACATATTATCCAAAGGAAGAAATGAAAGCCTCTCTGGCACCGTTGCATACACAAGCGCATTACCTCTGTAGCCTTTGTACAGAATATCTCGAAGTCTGCTTTAGTGGCGCAGAAAAATCCAATAGTGCATGAAGGATCCATTTTCCGTATGGGCATCTTGCGTGGAGAGTCACAGTGAAAACTCTATAAAACGAAAAAGTATATACGAATATAACACAGTATAATTAATAAGTAATGTTATTTCTCAATTCTCATTTCTATTTTATCTCTTGTTAAGAGATGCCATAGTGTATATACTTTAACGAAAGTCACTGGTAACTTTCGTGATGCAATTTTCTTAATTATATAGCTGCATGTATGCTCGTCTGGGGCCAGTTGTTGCTCCTCCGCAGGCTCTTATTTTTGGCACATATCAGTGACATGTACAGAATGTATAAAGGTAATCCAGCGTGCTCTTGTGCGTGCCATCAACATTAAGTGCACATGAGATCTAATTTTTCCATATTACTAAAAATTAGGGTATAGCTTTTGTATGACACCTTTCTTGTTAAAAATTTCCGGTCAAAACCACACTTTCCCACTTTTGTGCATATAATTAAGCAGTACAGGTGTATAAAAAAAGGCAATCGAACTTTAGCATGTTCGCATGCTTAGCTATGGAGTGTATTGTTTGACTCTTAGCTGTCCAATGATACCTTTTGGTCTCATTATAAAGAAAAATGATCACATACGAATTGAATTGCCGGTCAAAATCGCATTTTTCCAACGTTGGAATTCGGTGCAAAAAAATCTCATTTGGATCTAAAATTCATGAATATTAATTTCAAAAGCTCTAATATTAGTAACATGTGGGATAAACTGAAATATCTGTTGATAAAAGCGGTCACTTAATTGGAAAGGCACATTAGTGATCAATTAATTTCGTTTTGTTGTTATGAACAAAAGTGGAAAATTTTCAATTGTACTTGGAATGATACAAGTTAAGGTGTCATTCAAAAGCTAAAACCCTAATTTTTATTAATATGGCAAAACTAAATCTGTGCACTTAATATTGATATGAGGGCACAAGCTAGAGCATGCTAAATTTGGACTACCTTTTCTATACACCTTGTATCGAGCCTTGTATAGATCAGTGGTTGGGGTCCCATTCTGTGATGAACTGTATGTTTCTATATTCTTGGCAAGTGTTATGAATTATGAATGATTTGAGAACTGTATACATTCTTATCTCGTGCATTACCTCTGAAGGAAAGTTATCTGGTGTCATATCCACTGTAGGTTGACAAAAATGGGGATCAAGATAAATTAAATTGTCCTCTGCAAAAAAAATCAGTTGAAATATACTGAGAACAAAACGACCGATTACCAGATCGCATGTTCATAAGGACTTTTCGCAACACAATACATTCTACCCCACATAAATTTACGAAGAAACGTTTACACGACTAAACGAGAACTTAATCGTCTATACCTTGAAATCCAACGAAGTAAAGAGAATGTTTTGGTCGTCCGCCAATAATACCAATACAAGAATCGAGTGTTAAAAGAGCCTACAATAAAAGCATACTCTATAGGAAATTTATTTACTTCTATTTCGAATACAAGACCCGTTTCAGACGCCGTTTCAATCATGTCCCGAACTTAGTTGACGAATGAGGTGCCACAGAAGAGCGACGTATGATTAGTTAAGTGCAAGCAGCAGAATTTGGAGAGACAAACGTTCGACATGCAGAGCCTGTCGCATTATGCGACATTGGAGTAGCCAGTGTAGCTGGCGATTTTAAGGGGTTGAGTTGCGGGCAGCGACAATAGAGAGTTTAAGATCTACGACGCGGCCGGCTCAACGACGCGCTTGCGAAAGAAAGAAATCTGTCATGCAAGACAAAAACTGTGAATAATTTGTGGTCCCATGCAGGGGTATTCTCAACGGCTTTGTCATGCTCAGCAGAACATTAAACTAAGCATTATCACGTCTTTCAAGCAACGCGAAGCTTATTGCGACCCAAAAGGTGATACTTAAAGTCGAAATTACAACAAACATTGCATCGCTTTAGTCAAATTAGCAGTTTGTAATGTTATTTGAAAATCGTCAAACATTTATTACAGTAATGAAATTGCTTAGCGTTCATTTTTTAGCTGAAATTCAGACCGCGTCGTTGAGCCGACCGCGTCGTAGATCTTCAACTCTCAGGGGACTGGATTAAAAAGTGTGTTTGCATCAAACCAATGTCCTGAAAACGTTTCAACTATGTTTAAAATCTCAAATTCTGATAAATATCATTTAAGAAGTAATAACAAGATGCTGATGTTGTCGAAGCCTAAAACAAATTCAATGAAAAGGACATTCGGATATGCTGCTGCTAAAGACTGGAACTATAATAGTAAAAATTTTAAATCTACTTAATTCATTTGTAATATATATATTTAACGAATAACGTATCGCTTCGACCCAAACATTTCTTAGTATCTTTTAATATTTTTATAATAGTTTATATATAATAGTATTTCGAGTTTTAATTTGTATTTAATAACACGGCCTAATGAAAAACAACCTTTATAATTTTTGTAAATACTGATAGGTAATATGGTTGATTAGTTACCTATATATAAAGATGTTGTAATAATAATAATAATAATAATAAATAAAGTTTGTTGTAATCTTCAACACATATGACAAAACATAAGATTTGAAAAGTTCTTTCCTTTCTTCCACAAGTGCTATGATGTAAAATGCCGCCAAAATTAGTTATACCAATTGTCGGGTGACGTGCGTTTAAGCTCACTATTGATTCACGCCGCTCGACTCATGTGCCAAACTACAGACTTTTTTTCAAACACTTTCGTGGCTCAGTTGCATTTAATTATTCCTGTGCTCAAAAGTCAGTATAAGTATTAAGATCCACGAGCAAGTAGCTAAACAGACCTTTCTCATAATGATGTAAAACGCGGGTGAAGACTTTGGCAGTTCGGCTCTGGCTTTTCCCAGAAAGGGGGATGTGACACGGAACAATTTTTAACAACAATTTGTAGTGCAAATCGTTGCTGAGCCAGTCAAATTTCACTGCGTGTCGCTAAAAATTGTACCGTGTATAATATCGCACTTTAGTATAATTACATAGGTGATTATTGAAAATTCTCCACGCTGATTGGTTACCGTTGAGGTGATTATTACGCGATAATCACCTAAGCGATTTTCAAAATGGCGGCCGAAGCCGTTTTGTCAATTGAAAGACGAAGAAATGTGCATTTTTTTATTTTTTCCAAATAATCACCTATGAAATTATACTAAAACAATTATTCACCTCAGGCTCGGTGATTATCGGTGAATAAAAACCTCGACTTCGTCTCGGTTTTTATTCACCGATAATCACCTCGCCTTCGGCGAATAATTGTTAATTAACACTTATTTGAACTGTTTATCCGCGTTTGACGTGATCATGAGAAAGGTCTATTTTATTCAAGGCAGGCAGTTTTCATGAAGAACTTACCCTGATGGCAAAATTAATGATTCATTAATTTAAATGCCAATTCTGGATACAACGTAAAAACATCTATTCAATTGTTAATTGTGATGTTACTCTGAGTGTATATCCACACCGGGCGAGCTTGAAAAGTATGCCCGGCCACGGTGGGTTTCGAACCTACGACCTTTGAAATACTAGCCCAATGCTCTTCCGACTAAGCTACGCGGCCAGCACGGTTCGAATAAGTGATATTTCGGAACAGAATCTAGTTCCTTCGATACCAATGTATTCTAGTAATATGATATCATATTCACCTGAGTACACAACACCAACACAGAAAAAAAATCATATTACTAAAATACATTGGTATCGAAGGAACTAGATTCTGTTCCGAAATATCACTTACTCGAACCGTCCTGACCGCGTAGCTCAGTTGGAAGAGCATTGGGCTAGTATTCCAAAGGTCGTAGGTTCGAAACCCACCGTGGCCGGGCATACTTTTCAAGCTCGCCCGGTGTGGATATACACTCAGAGTAACATCACAAATATCATATTCACCTGAGTACACAACATCAACACAGAAAAAAAACATCTATTCAATTGTTTCTCAAAAAATATGCCTTTCTAAAACGCCGATTCATAGCATACCTTCACACAGGGCTGATAAATTGGATTTAGGTTTTCCCCACCAAGACGAACAGGGACTAAAATAATCAAAGACCTCCAGTGATCCTCAGAACATTGTTTATTACAACTTCCACATTCTTGACATAGTTGAGAAACATCGTCTTTGTAGACTACAAGAGTTGAGGACAACATAATACCAGGTAAGTTGAGGTGTATTAAGGACAAAATAAAGATGTAGACTGAGGAACGCATTGTCAACGTCGTAAAAATGGACCTGTTATGGTGTACTTGTTGTTTATCAAAATTTTGTAATCGAACGAATCATGAAAGCCTTGGTTAAGCGACCAAGTAAAAGCTAACTCATATTTGGTAACGAGTTCCAACTCAACATCTCGCCTCTGCTACATTCATGCCTTTAGAGTTGGAAAACTGAGGATGGATAGGGATTCAACCTGAAAAAACTTCGATGTTTCGAGCGAAGGTCCTTCCTCAGGGGGTTAGACAGTGTTTTTGTCACTACCTAGGCAGACCATTTAGAGTTGCTTATTTATTATGACTTACTTGTGCAGTCTTGAGAAACATAAACACAAAGTCCTTGACTGCTTTGAAGAAGTGGATTGGTGGATTCCTCTAATGCTTTTCTGATACAAGAAACAAAACATATACTGTATCAATATAGGTGAGCTTGATTCACTAGGCCAAAAAGTACACAAAGGAAAAATCCGTAGTAGAAAGAGGAAACAATAATTGCTTTGTTGAAAAGGAAGAGTGTCTGCACATGATACCGTTGAAAAAAATGGAAAAGACGGATATATTTTTAGGAAAATTTATAAGGTTTTATTTTTGATAAACGAGAATATTCATCCCCAGAAGCTTTCTCTTATGTCCATAGTGGAGAGGTTTCGATCAGATTACGAGTAAAAGATAGTCTCTACCATCTATAACGAAGAACACGGTCAGTTCTATGACCAAGTATATTTTACTTTGATGAAAGTACAGCAGTAGATCCAACTTACTTCATGACGTGAGCGACAAGAGAAGGTCCGTACCAGTCTCCAGGTTGTTTACCAAATGACTCGCTAAGTTTAACAAGTTTGTGCAACGAAAATGGACTGAGGTCTGTAGGTGAATCGTTAAAAAATTTTAATATCTATAAAATACAAGAATAAAAGAATAGTAGTCCAATGTCGTAGGAAAAATAACAACAAGTTAATAAACATGAATGTAAAAGTTGTATTCTCTTACTGCCTTGTAATAGAATGTTTGTGCTTTACTATGACACCTTCCAGACATTCTGAAATCTAACAGAAAATATCATAGCTATTATTATAAAGAAAAAAATAATTTTCCAACACTTGGTTTTGAATGTGTTTTTTTAAAGATTTACCATGTTGAAACCATTCATGAAAATTGGATTTCCATACTACTTTCAACTAAGATCCATACTATTTCCATAGTTCAGGATTCAATCTCGTTCCCCGAGCCTGCGATCCTCGGGAAGGAACGCGAGGCTCTGGGATAATCCGTTTCAGGGAGGAATCTGATTGGCCGTTGAAATGGAATGCGTAGTTCAATCTTAGCCAGGATTCCTGGCTTCCGGCAACGGATTATCCCAGAGCCTTTCGCGTTCCTTCCCGAGGAAAAAATTCCAGTGTATGTTATAATCATTCCTGGCTACTGGCTAGGTCAGCTTATAATCACCCCACGATTATATCTGAAAAGCTTGTTGCAGTCTGATTGTACTCATCTGGCATGTCAATAGGTCAGAGAGCTAGTATATATATACTGTACATGTTAAAACAGAGACCTTGGGTTTGATTCCTGGCATTTAAAGATTTTAAACTCCCCTATAGGCTACATGGATAATGCTGTAGACCTTACCTTTCCCTAGGAGATAATAACATAATCCTGTAGCTAACATCATCTGTGCACTTCGTATCATACAGCCCCATCCTGTGTCAGTTGTATAATCTGAACTGCCAACTTGTGGAAAGTCTTTACGATATGTAAACCACATGAGCGATGCAAAATGTCTATAAAATTCCTTTGCTGGAAGTAATGAATTTGGACGTGTTTTTTGTACACGGATGTTTGCTGAAAAAAATACATTCCACCTATTAACTTTTCTCTAAGTTTTCTCATGGGTTGTTCCATGGGTTATTAACTTTTCTCTAAATCGGTTATTAACTTTTCTCCAAATGGGTTGTTCCAACGAAGGGCCATGTAAAGTTCTGCTTAGGGCATACCTGTAGATTTTATTTTTGTGGAGGTAGCCAATCTTTAAATGGAGCTAGACTATGCCACATTCACGTACCCAGAGCCCGCCTTATACACACGATCATCAACAGAGCATGACAAGGACGCGGTGTACGA